ATATTGGACGGAGAGAATTGTCCAATTTTTCTCTCTATTTATAGCAAAAGTGCAGTCAAAACGTAGCTGTTACAGTAACTATATTTTAATTGCATTTTTTTCGTAGACAGAAAAATCAAGATGATTCTCTTCCTCCAGTATCTGCACCTATTAATTTACCTAGGCTGGGAACTAGATCAAGATTACGGTCCAATATAGAACCGGCACAGCGGACAAAAGCCGCTCTCTTCAAACCATCGCCTGATGCATCCGCCATGAAATTTATGCTTACACGGCGTGCGAATCACTTCCTTCCCTCCTTCCACCATCCCTTCCAAGCAAACAGCACACACTTCCTCGTCCCCCACAGAGGTTGATGAACTACAACTCTCCCCTCCTCCCATGCAAAGATTTCTCTGCACCAAAGCCATCCTCATCTCGCGAAGAATACTCGCCACCTCCTCCTCCCGCTCTGACACATAGACCTTCAGAATGACATGCACGATAAGCCCCTTGAGCCCTTCAACTCTACTGCAATTGCGAACTTGACATGCAATGGTGTGGGAGATACTCAACCTCGTCATCTCGGCTTCTTCGTTTTCCATTAAATAGTTCATTGGGAGGGGCTCCGTATTCTGCATGAAAGATTGGAGGTTTGATGCGATGCAGTTGATGAAACTGTGCCGCGACATGAACGTTGCTTTTGATATTTCTCTGTTATTAACGTCGATCACACAGTGGAGTCTGAGGAGGAGGTGGGGTTCGCTTGCCAGTCTGCCTGAAGGAACTTCTCCTTCCTCTTGCTGCCAGTCAAAAACTCTTTTGCAGTTGACGCGGATGGAGTGCGTCGTCGTCCGGGAAGAAGAAGCGGAAGCCATTGGCTATGAAGCTCTTAGATTTGTAGTTAGTAATACATTACCCGCGTACGTATATATAGAGCTGGTGTTTCCAAAAATATTCAGGAAGGAGGGTGTTTCCTAAAATATAATAATCTGAAATTGATTATGTACTTAATAAATAAATGAAGATCCGTTGAGATAATTCGAAATATATAGATTATTTATTATCCAGAAGAAAATAAAGTATGGCAAAGTTAATTTTGAAATACACTTTCCTATTTAGATGCCTTTGCAATAATTGTATTTCAACTCCAACTACTAAGCGTATGGCGAAGTTTCAGAAATAGATTCTTAAGCAGAATCTTGCTAAATAATTAACAATTAATATATTTCGAATTATCTCAACGGATTTTCAGATAATGTATTGTTACCGGGGGTGTGAGTGAGCCAAGAGGCTCAGTTAATATGAAAATTTAATAAATCTAATATAAATATTTATGTTTATTATAATTTAAAATTATAATGATAAGTTATTTTAAAACAATCTTTTTTATAAGAAGAATTATAGCTCGTTTGTTTGTGAACGAGCTTGTTTGTTAATTCAAAAATACTCGTTAGATGTGTTTGTGTACGAACTTTTTTGATAGTTTAAAAATCCTTACTAAATATGTTCTCGAATAGGCTCATTTGGTAGCTAAAAAATACTCACTATATATGCTCATGAACATACTTGTTTGGTAGTTCGAAACAATCTCTAGAAATATTTGTGAACATATTTGTTAGTATACTAGCTCGATATATATAAAGCTTGTTTGTTAAGCTAATGAAATTTATAAATAGAGTTCATTTATGGCTTGTAAAGACTCATTTGTTTAAAGCTCGATAAGTACGAAATGAACCGAACACGAATAAAACACAAATCAAACATGAACATCTATCAACTTAAATGAACAAAGCTTGAACACAAACGGGAAAGCTCGAATCTGGAGAATATGAACGGCTGATAATAAATGAACATAAACATGAACAAGCATATGCTCGGGTCATCTTTATGAGAGCTGAGGTTTTTTATCTGGGGAATATGTGGATGAAGCTTTTAATGGTGATGCTTTGGTGTGGTTCATCTTTATATTTCTTGATGCTTTGGTGTGGTTGGAATTTGCTAGAGCTGGTTCTGGGTATTAGTATCAGTTGGTATTTCTTATATATAACTAATTCTCTTGCATGCTTTTATTATTATCTGGCTTATATATCTTTTTTGAGAGTTCTTTGCATGGATAATTCATCTTTATATTTCCTGATCCTCAACAGTTGCAAGGTACTCTTATTTTGGTGTCTTTTTTGGCTTCTCTATTTTCTTTATCAATTTTGCAGGAAGACTGAGCGGAACTAAAATTATCTGATCTTCCAATTTTGGGTGCTATTTCTTCACAGCCCGAGGCTTTATTTATGTTCTTTTTGTAATCTTAGGAGAAGGACCCACCGGCTCTTAGGTTTTCTTTTCTTTTTCATTGTAGCTCTTCTGAACATTAGCGAGCTGGAGGGACCTTTTAAGGACTTTTGTAACCGCATTTTCAATATTAACGCCGTAGGTCCCGCTGTGAGTTTTATACCAAAAAAAAAAAAAAGCATATGCTTCGGATTGGCTTGATTCGTTTACAAACCCGTTAATCTTGATCAGAGTTAGCTAGCTGTAGTACTATAAAGCTTAATTAAATCATGATCTACATATTAGTACTAGTTCTTCCAATTAATCAGTGTAATACATGTTCGTTGGATCGTTGCTTCTTGATTTGATTTAATTAAGCTACCTACGATGTCTTTTTAGATGAAGAAATTAATTAGCAATCTGTTCTATGCTTTTGGCTATATTTTCTTAAGAAAAAAATTGTTTATTCGTATGCTATGAAAAAAAATATGAATGAAATTGGACTTATTTTGTTGGTTTGATTCGGCTGCTAAAGTTCTGGCTTGATTATTGTTTAGAAATTTGATTTTATTATTATTATTGATTTTATTTTTACTTTCATAAAATTAGTTAGAAAAAAAAATAAATTGTAATAATTTATTAAAAAAATAAATCAATAAAATCATATAAGTAAAGAAGTGACGTGAATGTTGTTTACTATAGTATAAAGCTTAAAGAAGAGGTGAATGCATGTATAGCACATTATAGAGAATATAATCCATGTGCGCCACTTATATTTTTCACTTTTTAACATTTAATAAACTATTTATAAATAATTTTTAAGATATCGTTTTAAAACTTTTAGTGAATTATAGCCAATATTAGATATGCTAGTTTTTAATAAAAAATACTCAAAAATTTGTATGGGTAATTCCGACTAGTCAAAAATTCGTTTCCTACGGTCAAAATGTTTTATAATTGAATATTCGATAACATATCAAAAGTTACAAGATAAAATATTTGTTATACTCATTAAAAAATATATTTTCACTCTTTATCTCTTTATAGAAATATCAGAATTAAAATAAAAAATAGAGTATTGTAAGCCTACCTCAAATAGCAAAATTCTCTTAAGTGGCCTAATGGACAACCTTGAGCCATGCATGACCAACAAAATTCCTTCCTCTTTTTCACTCACCTTCCTCTTCTCCTTTCCTTCTTTGCTATGATGAGCTTATTAGTGAGGATGAAATGCAACATGGATTTATATTTTTATTATATAAATTTTTTTAAAGGAAAGTGCGAGATGCTTGATCAAATGTGTAGAGCCATAGCGTTCAGCTGGAATATTTTAGATTCTTCCAAACCTCATCAAGCAAAGTGCTCAGTGCAAGGGTGGCTAACCTTAGAGTTGTAGTGTTCCCTCAAACATTTCTCTCAAATAGAGCGGAAAATATCATAATGCTCCAAGAGATAATTTCCCCATTTAATATTCAACTTTTTCTACTTCATTTTATGATTACAAAATTTAGATCTAAAAATTTTATAATACCAACAAGAATCTTATCGGGTTATGAATCTATAGGCATCACATTCTCCTCTCCTTTCAAAAATGTCATTCTTGACATTTGAATAAATAAGTCTGAATATAGTTGTTTCATATATACTTCTTTCTTTCAAGTTGCTTCCCGCTCAGACATGTTCTTCCACTAAACTTTATCTATAATGATCTTATTTATTCCTATGTTGCTTCACATCTTATGCTAGAATACGATCATATTTTTCTTTATAAGTTATACTGGGTGATCCGGGAACTTATTGATCTAAATTAAAAAATCTATAATTCCTCGGTACAGATACATCGAATACCTCAATACCTTATAAATATATGATATCTGATCAGGTAATTGTAATTGGTAAGCAAACTTTCTTATTCTTTTAATGATCTTCAAATGATCAACATACCTTGAGCTTAACTAACTATCCTTCCCAAATCTACTGACACGCTTCACTTGACCGACCTTGAAAAACATGAAATCCCCAATTAAAATTCTATATATGGATTTATACTTCAGGTCATAATAATTCTTTTATCTGTCCCAAGCCACTTTAAACAATTTTCTTATCAATCTTATTTTCTTTATAACACTATCTATCAATTAAGAACCCATCAATCATCTTTTTCCTGTCTCAATCCAAGCAAACGATGCCCTAAACCTTTTTCATACATGACTTTATACGGATCGAATTATCCTGATACTTGATCAAAAATTATTATTGTAAACAAATTCAAATAGAGAAATATGATCATTCTGACTTTCTTTAAAATAAAAAATGCATAGTCTCAATAAATATTTAATATTTGAATTACATGTTTAATTAGATTGCCCATCTATTTGTGGATAAGACTATACTAAAACTCAACTTTGTACCCTGTCCTTGAATATTCTTTTATAACCTAGATGTAAACCTATCATCTCTATAAAAAATAATAGCTTTCAAAGTTCTATGTTGTCTAATAATCTCCTTTATAAAGCTAGCCAACTTCAAAACAGAGTTTGTCTATCTCATGTGAAAAAATGAGTACGTAGACTTAGCCAATCTATGATCACCCATATTGCAGCATAGTTTGTCTAGACCTAGGAAAACCCATAATAAACTCTTTCCATTTTCACTTAAGAACAGATAGAGGCCATGATAAACCGCTTGGCCTTTGGCATTAATCTTTAACTAACTAACATGGGAAAGTGAAAGTCTTCAAAAAAAGAATTCAATATTGGCGACATCACTGCTACTATTCTAGGCTGGATTCCTACTCTATAGTAAGTTCTCGCTTTTCTTTCAGTTAGGGGGATTAGGTCTTTTTCTAAGAGGGTCTTTCTTTTTCTTCTTTCTTCATTGAATATTCATTACCCAATAGGTTTTTTTTTACTTATTCAAAATTCTTCCAGAAAGAGTTTTCCCCTTTCCGCGGTGGGGTTGATTGGACGAAAGATCCCATCCCTATAGAATGAGAAAAAACAAAATGACAAAAATCCGAATATGATACTTTAGAATCAAAAAATTCCGAAACATCAGAGGCACGTAGTGAACAAGATTCACATATGATCCGATCCCCTAACCTAACACTCCACTCTAACGTCAGACGAGGAAGCGGCGTCAGAGAAAGTCCCGCAAAACTACCTACCATACCTAGCCACTGTTGATGGAAAGACTTCTAGCTGACTGAGCTTCCCATTCATATGACCCTAAACCGGGCACAGTAGGCAAATGATCAGCCTCTTTCTATTTCTCTCTTCTGCGGAAACAAAAAAATGGAAGGCCCGTGTCACTGACTTTGATCTACTGTGATCTGAGAAAGCTCTTATCCTAACCTCACTTCTCACCATCTTATCTTCCTCGTAATATTTTCATTTGAGGAAGTGAAATCTAAACAAAGCGTAATAGAATTTCATATGCTTCAACTCCAACATGACATGTAGCCGGTTGCCAACCTCCAAGAAACACATCCAAGTTGTCCTATATCGATTGGGCTGGCCGGGAGAGTAGCTAAATGCCAACCGACCGAAAAAGAAAAAACGAGTGAAGTTCATCTCTTATCTTCTTTCTATTGAAAGGAAGAACATTGGCAGTTCAAGTCCGGGAATTGGCTCTCACTCTCAGCCAGAAAAAAGATCGGTTACACTCATCCGCTGAATGACCCGGTGATCCCCATATGTTCTAACATTAAAGTAGGAAAAGAGAAAATAGGTCAGTAGGGGGAGCCCTCCAATCAAAAGAAAGTCATTCAAGATCTAGATCTAGAGCTAAAAAGGAGCATTCCCAGCTAACTCTTTTCCTTTTCATACTAAGAAACTAAGAAAAGATCTCTTTTTCTCTCTTTTTTTTTCATTCTAAAAAATCCTATTTTCTTTCTAGTAGTTCGCTCGTCCTTTCCTTACTCTTCTCTCCGATCGCCAGACGGGTTTGATTTGTTTGGTTTTCTAAGGTAAGGGTAAGTGACTGGGAAAAAAGACGATTACGTATGACATCAAGTCAAAGTCTTAGTCTCAAAAAAGCATCTGACTGAGTGACAGCGATCTCAATGGGTAGAAGATATGCTTGGGAAACTCCGATAGGCCTAACCGGCCTGCTCTTATCAAAGAAAAAGAAGAAAGAATAGAGGCTCCCACTGATAGCAGTTAGTTCTAGGTCAAGCTTGCGAGTTTAGCTCTGCCTCCTACTCCTATGACTCCTCCTTATCCTATTGATTATTCTCTCGCGGATCTGCTGATCTGATCATAGCATGCGTCAGGAGACATCGGAAAAGGCGCTAGATAAAGGCGCTAGAAAAAAATGTCTCTTTTTTCGAGTCCGGTTCGGGCAGACTCTGATTTTGAAAGAAAGAATTCTGTCCGGAAATTTTTCTTCGACTGCACATTCTTCGGCCTGCTGGTGGAAGTGAGCATCTCCCCGTCACTCTGAAAAGATATCTCGAGGAGCTTCATTCCATGGGCGCTCAATCATCCTTCTTTCCAAAAATGATGCGCTGCTTTTTGGAATCAGATGGTGACCGGTGTCAAAAGGAAGGTGGGGCAGAGGAATCGACGAAGAATCCAGGAAAGAGCGAAGGAAAAGCGAAGCGTGACGAGAATTCTAGACTCGAGATGTTAGAAGGTGCTAAATCAATGGGTGCCGGAGCAGCTACAATTGCTTCAGCGGGAGCTGCTGTCGGTATTGGAAACGTTTTCAGTTCTTTGATTCATTCCGTGGCGCGAAATCCATCATTGGCTAAACAATCATTTGGTTATGCAATTTTGGGCTTTGCTCTCACCGAAGCTATTGCATCGTTTGCCCCAATGATGGCGTCTCTGATCTCATTCGTCTTCCGATCGCAAAAAGGCGCTAGTAAGTCATATCTACGATCATCCATTTTCTAGTGTTTTGATCAAAGTCAATATCTCTTTGTCTTTATCTGGGGACCTTTGGCTTTTCGTCCTTTTTCTTTGAGTTGTGCCGTGGGTCAGTCATCCATTCGTACGATCTGAGTTATGGAAGGAAACAGGGGAGTTGGCTGATCAAGATGGACAGTAACGATCGCGTAATAGAAATTTCTCATCGAAAGCGGCTTCCAATTGCTCGGAAATTCTCAGCTATATGGGGGACTTGGATGGTGAGCAAAAACAATTGATCAAGAAGTTGGTCAACTTTCGCATGATCGATGGTAAAAGAACGAGAGCTCGTGCTATTGTTTATCAAACTTTTCATCGCCCAGCTCGAACTGAACGCGATGTAATCAAACTGATGGTTGACGCCGTAGATAATATAAAGCCCATATGCGAAGTGGTCAAAGTAGGAGTCGCAGGTACTATTTATGATGTCCCTGGGATTGTAGCCAGGGATCGTCAACAAACCTTAGCTATTCGTTGGATCCTTGGAGCAGCTTTCAAAAGACGTATAAGCTACAGGATAAGCTTAGAGAAATGTTCATTTGCTGAGATACTGGATGCTTACCGAAAGAGGGGAATTGCACGTCAGAGAAGGGAGAATCTTCATGGACTGGCTTCCACCAATCGAAGTTTCGCGCATTTCAGATGGTGGTAAAGTGATACCACATAAAGAACTCTTCCTCATTCAGTCATCTTCTGAAGTCAGAAATGTTTGACTAACGCCTTTCTTTTTCTTTGTAAAGAAAGAAAAACTATCGTGTCTAAGTTCAACGCTGCGCGCCTTTCTTCATCTTCATATAGAAAGAAAAGAAAGTCGGCCTTCCTCATACTCCCCCCTTCATTCATTGAGTTGGAGGAATCCACAGGAGGCCCGCCCGTTATGCATTGCATAAAAGAACCTTTCTTTCTATTTTGACTCAGGTCGAATGAATACGAAAGGCACTAGATCAAATCAAGAGGCCATGAATGAAGAAGTAGTGGGCCTTTCACCTTCTTTCTAGTGACTCGTGGAGCTGAGAAATCCACTTCAAAGGGAGGGAAGCTAGCTGTCATCATCATCCTTTCCGGTAGGAAAAAGAGTCGGACTATGACGTACCAGTCCCTAGTGGTGGTTCACTTTTTTGAATCTGCCAAGTCAAGGTCAACGTACGTAGCGTAGCAAACCGATCATCTGCCTCTTTCTCGTTCTCGCTTTTCTCCGTACTACTGTACTGGACCTTCTACATTTTGGATTGACTTGTCGAATCTCCACCACTCCTTTCTTGTCCGGCTCTCGAAGAGTTGAGCGGGCGCTGGCCAGCAACTTTCGTGCCTGAGAATGGAAGAGGGCCGCAGGCATTCATTCTTCGTACCTGGTCCAGCCTCACAACCGGTTGGTCAGACGGAATTGGACAAAGAAAAGAGAGTGCTCGACCGGAACAACGTCAAACCATAGAACACAGCTCCTTTCGGTCGAACCTGCCTCCAAGCTAGCGCCTTACCTTTTTCGTAGATAGTCTCAGTGAGAGCTACTGTAGTCTCCCCCGTTGACCTTCTTTTATAGATAGAATCTTCAATGAGTGGAAAGGACTCCCATACTTTCTCCGCAGTACGAGCCTCATACAGAGCCGCGCCCTTGTGATATGATAAGAAGAAAAGGCGCTAGTTGATTCGAAGAGCCAGGCCGCCCTCTTTTCCGCACCAACCCTGATTGTCAAATCGGGTGTATAGCTCAGTTGGTAGAGCATTGGGCTTTTAACCTAATGGTCGCAGGTTCAAGTCCTGCTATACCCACTCATCGTAAGGATGCATAGTAGCGTTCAAAGAGCACTCTTTGGCCTTGAGACTCGCCCCTTTCTCATAAACATTTCGACTTCGCTCGTTGTGTGAGGTCAGGAGTAGTTTCAAACTGGCTCGGTCATCGATAGGCCGGCCTTCATTGGATAGGGCGCGGGGGAGAGTCAAGTCAAGCACTAGTTAGTTGGGGTGGGACGCACCAAAGCAGGATTTAGGGCAGTAGTTCGGCTTGCACATACATAACAGGGTGACCACGAAAGAAGCAGGCAAATCGCTCTAGGTGAATAGAACCTACCTCGGAAAACTAGATAGGTTTCGAAAACTATTACTGCAGATCGACATCGGAGGCGGCCCAAACCTAGGCTGTGACGCTTCCTGTCGAGTACAATTCAGACTTGAAGTTCGTTTACACAGTAAGAGAAAGACAATTGAATGGGACTCAGTCTTGAGCAACTTTCTTAGATTAGATTCTTGAATATAGCATCAACATGAAAAGAACATTACAAAGCTATATAGGCATTTATCCCATCCATCAACCGAGAAAGACACCTACGTTACACTAACTAGGAGCGCGCTTCTTTATGAAAAAAGACATTCTGAAATGAGCCCACATAGAAAAGTGGGCTGGTCTTTGTGTTCGTACATTTCTTCATTATTGCAATACAAAGAACACCTCCACTATACTAGTGATGGAGGGGATTCGCGCCGGATGGAACAAGGCGCTTTGAACCATATACTACTTTTGCTGGAATGAAACGCAGCCTCGGAACAGAATTATGCTGCTTGCTGGGCCCTGATGGTGGAACTGGCATTTTTGGGGGGATGAAAGCGGCCCCCTTTTGCGGCAGAGTGGGCAGCATCGCTTTCCCTCGTGTAGCTATAACACAAGAAGAAGAAAAAGCAGTCTTTCGCGGATTCTTGCGAAAACAAATTGAGCTGTAGGCATCAAGACCGAGATTCTATACTGCTGCAGAAGCGGAAGAGAAGGTCAGGATAGATAGATTCAGATCCTTTCATGTAGGAGATAGGAGAGTCTTTGATGGGCTCGGATCCTTTGCATGATTTCATGTGAGGAGCCACCTTTGACGGGCTTTGAATTTGGACAGATTCAGCGGGCCTTCTTGTCATTTTTAGGACTTTTTGGGATGGGCCAACCCGTGCATGTACGCTTGGTCATTCGGGCCTTGGGCACCTGTGGGCTGTATAATTGGGGTGCGTCATTTGACGACTCAGTGCACGGATGTGAATCTTTCCTCAACATAGGCTTAGGCCTATTTCGTAAGTGAGCAGTTTTTGGCAGGCCTGGAGATGGAAAGTGGAAATATGCCCATTTTTTCATAGTTCAGGTAAGAAAGCCGCTAATAGGCAACAGGACATACGCTACTGGATAAAGTATGCTAGCCACTAGTCCAGGAAGAAAGGAAAGGAAATGAAATAGGATAGTCAAAGATGAAAGAAAAGAAATCCAGATATTTTCGTTAGCCTAGAGAAAGAGATTGACCGGGGGTAAGATGCATACCGCATACCCGATCCCGCTGCTCTGGACCCTTTCTCCTTTTGGGGGGGGGGGGGGGGGGGGGGGGGGGGGCAGAACCTCTGTTCCGCTTGTTGTAAACATGATTGACCGACTGGACCAGTCCAGGAAGGACTAGTCTAACAAAGTCTTAAACTCAATGTTTATTAAATATTTTAGTATTTAAAATTGAAATTAATAACATAAACCTGAAGTAGAACTCATCCTAACCCCGTAACCTTGGTGAGGGTGAGGAATTGAAGAATTCAGAACCTCTGTTCCGCTTGTTGTAAACATGATTGACCGACTGGACCAGTCCAGGAAGGACTAGTCTAACAAAGTCTTAAACTCAATGTTTATTAAATATTTTAGTATTTAAAATTGAAATTAATAACATAAACCTGAAGTAGAACTCATCCTAACCCCGTAACCTTGGTGAGGGTGAGGAATTGAAGAATTACTCTAGCTCACAAAAAGCAAATGTCCAGTCAAGAATATCACTCAGATTCATTCTCAAATAATATCATGCTAGTAAGGATGAGACATTTCTCCTTCTAATCGGTGGCTTTACTAGATGACTCCACAAAACCCATAGTTTGGTCAAATGGCTCTACACGTTAAATGGTTATGACTAGTCCTCTAATCGGTGGCTTGGCTAGACAGTTCCACAAAGAACCAGTGGCTTGGCCAAACAGCTCCACAACGAACTCATGACTTGGCAAGAATGGCTCCACATGATAAATGATTATGGCACGATCCTTTGATCTAGTGGCTTGGTCGAACGACTTCATTGTATTACGGTCATTGCTAAAAGCTCATATGTACATCAATGGCTGGTTACCATTGAGTAATAAATTATAGGGTATGACCAATAAAGCACAAAATCCTCTGTTAGCTATGATTAACTTGGATTTGTCCTTTAAACAAATACTCACTCCAAATCTATAAAATACCCGTGTATGAAACAACTCATAGCTGTTGATAAGGATCCTTTGATCAGGTTGGATCAATTACATCCTCTAACTAAGTGGACTAGGGATCATGTTGACCTATGACTACAGAATTATGGGATCTTGATTGGGTTCATCATCATTCCTCCATCTGTTTTAAGTGCAAGGTGGTGAATTAATAATTTTAAATGTTAAAATTTAAACATCTAAATATGCTGCTACTATACATTGGATACTAAGTATCTGTTTAACGATTAGTCTTAATCGAAAGCACTCTCTTGTTATTAAGAGAGGTAGTTAACTATAAGGGCTTGCGATTATAGGAAACTAGAACTCATATATTAAAGTCCTTATTAAAAGGCCAAAATCTTTGGGTAGTGTCTTATCTTCATCTAATCTACCTTTCGAAAAATTTCCCCCGAACATAATTTGTTAAAACTCTCCCCAAATATACATGGGGCGATTAGGGCTCAAAAGCTCAATTTTTCAGAGCCCACGGTACTTAAATGGACATACATGTTCTAATAGTATAGGCTATATTATGATTTCCGATAGGATTCATGATGCATATGACATATGAGATAGGATTCATGTTAGTTATACTTGATTTTAAAATTAAAAATTTAAAAAAGCAAATACATACTTTAAGAAATAAGAAAGACAATTAAAAACAAAAGGAAAGCCACCAAATCACAAAGAGACTGATTTTTAGTTAGAAAGAAAGGAATATTTTTCTTTGAAACAGCAAGAGTTGGTGCTTCTTTCAATCTCTTTACTTCTTTCCCAAAATATTTTTTTATCCTCTAATCTGATTTTATCTCCCTGTCACTTCTCTATCTGCATATTCCTCTTTACTCCATATCTACTAGTTCCAATCTCCTCTACTCCAAGCAGCTCACTTCTTTCTCTTTCCGGTACATCAATTAATCTCTTCAATTATTTTACCTCACTTTTGATTCTCATTCCTTTATGGATAGACTTTACTTTGTTAACAAGATTCTAAAGTTCAAGCAAGACTAGAAACGGAAAATGTATTCTCTGCTATCTTTGCATTGGCTTTTGGTGACATCAGATTCCATACTAAGCAAAAGACTAGCAGGAATACCAGGAAAAAAAAAACTTAAAAATCAAAATTGACAGTTCTAACCTTTATGCCATAATCATTTTCACTCAAAGGAAGACTTGAATCAGATGCTAGGCCGCTGATAACATTTTCAGCAGAAAGATTTGCAACAGTAGACCTACGCGAACGGAAAATAATGAAAACAATATTGAATGAGAGTATAAGACAATCTACCGAAGCAGAAAAAAACTATGCAGGAAAAATTGCTTAAATATATTTAGCTTCAACAATTCTCACAAAGATTTAACCAGTCATAAAGCTTGCGAAAAATAAGGATTATCGAATGATAAATTAAAGCCCTCTAGAAAGCTAACTTATAGTCATTAATATCATCCATCAAAATAACAGAATATGCTAGAAATATCATGAAAAATACATGGAGTTGATCTTAAGTCATAAAAATTCATTTAAGAATGTTTACTACTGTTTTGATGTGGAAAAATTATTATGTACGGCGTCCAGATTCGTTCAGAGGCGAATCCAGGTGCGCCACATCACCCGGGGCCCAGTGCATCCGGGTGACGTGGCGCGTCCGGATTCGCCTCCAGACGATCCGGACACCGCACATAATAATCTCTCTTTGATGTGTTGCAGGCAATAAAATCATTTATATGCTCTCCAAGATCAACGAGATTCCCTAAAAGTGTGATTCTAATGATGGTAAAGTAATGGATACAACAATATCAGTTTTGTCAAAGTCCTCAAGGCGATGTAGTTTCTATCTCATGGCTGTTGGCTCCACCCTTGGAGTTTGTCTGAGTGATGTGTGTCTCTAAAATGTAAATATGTATATACCTTCGTAAAGTAATTTTAATTATAAGGAATTTTGTTGAAAGGTAGAAAATAATAATTATCACACCAAAAGAAGTGAGTAAATAATGATTTTTCAAGCTTCATTACATTAAAAATTAAAAAAATCTTGCTAAAAAAATCTTATAAAATAATTATATTTTAAACTATATGATATGTTTAGCATTTAATATTTGTTATGATTAGTGCCATCTTCGTCATCTCAAATGCTTTTTTCCATCGCTCAATTTTAGGCTCTCCACCTCTTCCTTTTTTCCCTTAGGTTCAACTTACTCCGCAAGATTAACTGCCTAAAGATTAACCCATTGATTATAATCTATGACGTGAAAATTACCCATCGACTGTGTATTTTAAATTTTATAATAATTTAACTATTCATCAAGCTTGTCCAAAAATATGAACGGTTGGATTATGCATAGAAGGTCATTTAAAAAGTCTAGTTTTACTTTGTAGCTAACCAATTAAAATCTTCAAATACCCTTTAAATATCATCAACACCAACTTATTTAATTTAGGCCAGTTGAATATGTTTCATATTACAGATTATGTATATGTTTTATGCAAAAAAAAAGTATATGTTTTATTTATGCAATAAGCCATCCATCAAAAAAATATGATGCATTCAAGATGATCAAATGATCTTAAATCCTTAATAATCATTTATGACACTTGTTTAAATGGATTCAAATATAATAGAAGACTTGGATATTGTATTTGTAGGTTATAAAATTTAAATAAATGAAAATGATTATTTTGCTCCTGACGGATATGGGAACCCTCAATTGGAATGAGGGAGGTATTGATGGCCTAAAAATTGAAGTCTAGGTAGTTCCTAGTTGACACTCAAATGTATTTAAGGACTACGCATTGTGGGCTCCGAAAATTTGCTTAATGAATTATCAAATGATCAATTTAATCAAACTTTTTAATCAAATGATCAATTTAACAAAATTTTGAATTACCATGGTATCATTAGAGTGGAAACAAATGAGGTAAAAGTAACCAAATCTTAAAATAGTTTTGGACTCTCTCTCTCTCTCTTTCTATATATATATATATATATATATTCATAGGAATGCGTGTGTACCTTTTTGTTTTCTCCCTCTTCACGATTTGAGTGATGAAGGGCTCTTAATACATCTAATGCTCTTAACACATGTAATGATGTATTGAGTAGCTACTACTTGAAGTGTGAGCATGGATGTGAAAAGTAGTTGACAGGGGTAATTACACTTACCTTGGACTTGCTTAAAAGCCCAAGTACGAGCTAAAACACTAAGCTAAGCTCTGAACTTAATCATGAGCCCAATTTAGGCTGAAATCAAGCTTAGGCCAGGGTGGACTCGAACTTAAGCTTGCTTCTAATAAGCAACTTGAAGAAGCAAATTTAGCTTAGTTTGAATCTAAGTTCAAGCTTGAGCTCAAGCTTAAATGAGTAAAAAGTAAAATCAAACCTTAGTCTCAATTCACATGTAGGGTAGATTCAAATTTAACCTCGAACTTGGGTAGACAACCCAATTGAGTCTAATTTTGCTCCACCTAAGCTAATTCAGTTATTGTAACTGAGATCAATTAGAGGCCTAAGCCGCACAATTAGCTGAAGAAGGCTGGCTAGGTCAAGAATTTTATGTGGTCAAATGAGTCTAGTTAAGATTGAGGATCCTAATCGTCCTAGCTAAGAGACTATTTGTGTGTGCATGAAAATAAATACATAGAGAGAGAGAGAGAAACATTTAGAGGCTTGAGCCACATAATTGGATGCATAAGGTTGGCCAAGTCGAGAGTGTTACAGTTTTTTAAAAAAAAAAGAGTCGAGTGTTACATAGTCAAATGAGTCTAGCTAACGTCGGGGATCCTAATTGACCTGACTGGTAGCATATATATTTGTGTGTGAATATATGGATAGAAGGATAGAAAAAAAAACGCCAAAATCAAATTACACAACAAACAAATTATCATCGAAAATTTGATAATCTTTAGGCTCCAAATATGGACATGAATAGCTAGCTCAGTTAAATCAAACCTTAAAATGTTCATTTCCAATGCCACAACAAACACTCAAGGTATTATAAGACTCGGCATTAGAATATGACAAGTAAACCAAAATTTGAAGGATGAATACCTCTCATAAATGTCATCATCAAAAGAATTTCCAGAAGATGAAAGCCAATCAAGGTCCAAAAAATTTGAAGACGCTGATGCATCAACCTCGGCTTCACTAGAGCAACCATGCTCATTCTCTGCAAAAAGCTTCCTACAAGACATTGAGGAGGTGTACCTAGGAAAGATGGCCAAAAAAGGAGTCATTATCAAGACAGAAGAAGCCATAAATGCTGCTGCAAATAGACCTATTAGGAACCTTGGACAACTAAATAATATTTATTTTATAACGTGCAACTCAAGGAATAGTGATTACTAGATTTCTAATTCAATGAAGCCTTGTTAGAGTTTAAAGAAACCATTCAATATGAATGTTTATTTGAAAATGCTACGAAACTACTTAATAGTTCTAAACAGTTTTCTGTATGACCTTGGCATGAACTGCATATGTAAAAAATGTGAAATACAATGAGCTATCCATAGATCACATTCAGCAAAGAACATACCTGGAATATGATTCATCTTTCTGACGAGTCGAAAACCCTGTGTTTGAACTAGAATGTCTTCTGGCACATGGAACGTCAGGTGCTTTTTCAGATGATATCAAAGAGTTATGAACATCTTTTATTCCCACACAATAGTCTGACAAGTTTATGTTGTTTTGATGTAGAATGTTACCATCTGATTGAGATCTTTTCATGGATGAACTATAAAAGAGCACAAGTTTCTTTTAGGATATGAAGTAGCCGTGAACCTAAGGCTTCGTTTGGGACGACTTTCTTTTTGCTTTTTAAAGCAGCTTTCTAATATAAAAATTTTAATTTTTGTACTAGAAATCTGCTTTACGAAGTAGTAATAAAGCCGTCCCAAACGAAGCCTAAGACTTCGTCATTAAGCAATTTAGGCAGCAGGTGTTAGTTAACAAATCTTAATACTAACAACTGATAAAAGAAACTGTCCCAAGGATAGTGAAAACTTGCTATTTTCAAAATCAAATTACTAATTGTACCTAGGAGTTGCAGTAAGTAAGCTATTGTCACACCAGCTGGGATTACAATTCCGATCAGAATTTAGATCCCAAATTGTGGACTTTTCCTGCAGAGCTTGGAAGTACCCTAGAAACCTGGCAACAACAAAAGGAACATATGGCTACTTACTGATCGGGGATCCTAAGGAGAGACATTGAAGTAGGAATAAATTCCATGGTAAAATGACAGGAAAAGATTGCAAAGCTCACAAGTTTATTGCTTCTTGTCTTTCAGCATCCATATAAGCATTGCTGTAGTATCTCTGAAGTGTCCTGAAGAACTCCTGAGTCTGAGTTGTTGCCTTCCATTGGCCCCTTCTTTCAGAGAATACCTATTCATGTGGGCTTGAAATCAAATTCTTTTTATGTTACTTAATGAACCAAACACAGGAAATAGGGTGCCAAATGGGCCATGTTGTGCCTAGGAAGTTGTTTCTCACAAAAAAACATTGTGTTCAAGGCATATAATGACTTCTAATAATCTATATGCATTTGTTTATAAAATTCAAATGTCTTATGACCTAGAAAGCATTTGTAAACGAACAAAAGAAAATCAACAACAAATAGTTTTTGAAATTTACCTTGTTGTGAGCAGCAGAGCCTCCATATTGTAGTGCAAGTGTATCACCCATTCTCTCATAGAAATTCATCAACTCATCAGCCAAAGGAGCAGCTAAATCAAGTTTTGGAACATCTACAAGTCCCAACGCATGGAGCTGATGCCCAAGAGCAGCTAAACCATAGGCATATTGAGCAACATTAGTGCGATCCAAGCAATCTATACAATTTGTGCGCAGAACACCAGTTTGAAATCTGCTAGGCTTCACCAAGCAATTCCCGTTGCCTTCGGTTTTGTATTCTGAATATCCAAGCTTTGCAGTATCAGAACTTTCGGCATTATATTCTTGAAGACCAGTCCTAAAGGTATCATTGTGTGAATAGCTGCTGTCAATGTGATCTGACTCCTTGTTACAAGACAAGCTGAGAGCACTGCCCTTCCTATTATACATCAATAAGAAAATAAGTCTGAAAATCAGCTAAAATCAAATGGTTAAGATTGAATTTATGTATGTATTGTCTTAAAATCTTCAGCCGCATGTGTGAAAAATTGGAAGTACAGCCGAGGCGCATCATGATGTCAGTGGCCAAACTTCTAAGCGCAATTGTCCAATAATTTAGTAAGGGAAAAAATTGATGATTTCAGATAATTACATCACGCCTCTAATTTTTGATTGATTGGTATTATTTTTTTTTAATAAAGAAAGTTAGAGATTCAAATTTCACTTTACAGAAAAGATAATATTTTTGTATTAAGCTTCCTAACCACTAACCACTAATTTTTGATTAGTTGGTATTATTCTTTTAAAAGAAGGTTAGAGGCTGGAATTTCACTTTAAAGAAAATATGAAGTTTTTCACTAAGCTTACCATTTATCGATGCATCCATCTCAGTAAATGAAGACATAAACCTCATTGGTTTCATCTTTTTCTTCTTTTTGAACTCAAAGATTATCTGAAATTTTACATGAATTTAAATCTGAATTTCTTGTATTTTTATAATCTAAATTGCCCCTTTCTCATAATTAACCTGAAACTGTTATTAATTATAAAAAATAATAAATGTTGAATTTCTCTGGCTAAAAATATTTTCTTACCAAGTAATCATAGACAACACCAGACACTAGCGTGACTACTAAAGTGTCAGCAAGATTAAAGGCAAACTTCAAAAGTTTGGATACGAAGATGGGTAAGGGAAGGTTTGTGATACAATGGGTTGGCAGCTAAGAATAGGGAGGCGTTGCTGTTCAGTATTTCAAAAACCTAAAAAATGTATTAAGCTATAATTCTGACAATAATTCTGGATCAGACTAATTGGGGCATGATCCCCTAGTGTCTTCTTCACTGCAGGTCCACCCATGGGAATCTGACAATAAAAGTTGATAATGATTGACTCAATCGATCACAATTATTACCGGAGAAACACAACCTAATATTACCATAATATTCTTAAAAAGAACTGACGATATCCCATAATATTCTCCTAAGGAATGTGGTAGAAGTGGATGCAGTTTCAGCAAAACCAAAGAAAAGCATAAGATGAAAAAAAACACACAAGAACTCTTTTTTTATTGAATGAACTAAGAAGAAGAATAAAAGATACAGTTGGATCTTCAATTGGAAATGAAGATCTGACTTTCTATAGAGCTATATTGAGAGGGTATGCAGAAGAATTTCGATAAGATGGTGGTTAGTTGTAATATATGTCAAAGGCACAAGTATTTAGCTGTCTCTAGGAGGGCTCCTACAGCCATTAGCTCTTCTAGAAAAGGTTTCATATGAGGTGACCATGGACTTCATTAAAGGGTTGTCTTAGTCAAAAGAATACACGATAATACTGGTGGTGTCGGATCGATTGAGTAAGTACGCTCATTTTATTCCCCTTCCCCACCCATATACAACAGCATTAGTAACAACGGTTTTCATAAGGGAGGTGATGATATTACATGGGATATTATAATCGATTGTATCGAATCGAGACAAGATCTTTTTGAGCCCGTTCTGAAAGGAATTGTTCAAGATGCAGGGAATTGTTCTAAAAAGGAGCACTGCTTATCATCCTCAGACGAACAGACATATAGAGGTGGTTAATCGTAGTGTGGAGACTTATCTTCGATGCTCTGTATCGGATACACTAAAGTTGTGAGCAAAATGATTGGCATGGGCAGAGTATTGGAATAACACTTCCTATCATTCGGTAGCTTAGACAACACCGTTCAAGATGCTATACGGACAAAATCCGCCTTGATAAATTATGGACAAGGCATCACACTGGTCGCATCAGTTGAGCAGTACTTGGAGGACTGATTTGGGGCCCAAAAATTTTTCAGCAAATCAAGAACCTTTCAGCTCTCCTGTGGGGCCCAAGACCTCCTATATCACCTATAGGAGAAGAGGCTTTGGGGGAAGCTCTTTGGGAAAGATATAATTAGGGGCTTTTATTAAGAGATTTGAGCTAATTTGAATTCAAATGAGGGAAGTAGGAATGTTTATATGAGGGTTAATAGGGTTGTCTTATTTTATCATGTTATGTGTGTTTGCTGTAGTTTTCTTTGGAGTTGTTCCTAGCGGGGCCTAGGGTTTGTATAGAGTCGATCTACCTGTTAAATAGTATATTAACTTATATTTTGGTTTGTTGTGCTGAAATAAACATCTTTCTCGCTGATTTTTGTTGTGTTTTATCTTGTTCTTGTTGTTTATCTGAATGGAGGATAAACTACTATCAAATTGGTATTAGAGCACGATTCGGGACCCATGGGGCAGAAGAAAGTGGATACTGTGGAAGAGAAACTAGAAAGAGAAGTTGGTCAATTCAAATCTAAAGTTGAGGAAAAGATTTCATCCATAAAAGAAAGGTTTTCTAACCTAAAGAATATGATGAAGAAAATATTGGAGCTTCACACCCAACCAACAACATCGAAGGCGAGGGCATTGACCAGTAGCCAAGGAAGTCGAAGAAACCCCAATATTGGCACAATGAGGGATAATTGAGAGGTATAAATCTTGGGCGACGAGGAAATTTTGTCATCTCTTGAACCGATAACCAGGAGGGAAATCGGTGAAGAATATAACATGAGAAATTGGGAGGAAGAAACGAGGGCTGACTTTGAGAAAGAGGATATCTATGAAAGGAGAGGCGAGAGAGAACAATGGAGAGATCACAATTGTTGAGGGGTAAGATGCTCTTGGGTGGATCTATAGTGAGGAGAGATACTTTGCAGTGAATGGGCTGACGATGGAGGAGAGACTCACGGCGGCGGTTGGAGGGGAAAGCCTGTCATTGTATTAGTGGAGAGACATGAGAGATCCAATCCAATCGTGGAGGGAGTTCAAAGATAATTTATTAGAATATTTTTGAACCAGTCGAGAAGGAAACTTCTATGAGCAGTTCTTTGCTCTGGTTCAGGAAGTGATTAAACCTAAATTCTATAGCCAAATAGGAGAACACTGTGAATGCAACCAGACACTTCCTTTCAATAAAGCATAAACAATCAACAACAAAATAAAACTTAATAGTAAACATATATAAGTAAATGATTAGGAAATATTGCAATAAACAAACTAAAACATAAAATAAACTACCCTCAGAACAACCTAGAAAGATCACCTCACATGCAAATCTAAAAATTAGAGAATTATGCTCAAAGGAAAAATCAAACCAGTTGGGGTCACAGAAATTTTGATCCAGCTCAAGCCATCACTCCTCCGGCAAATACCAACAAACGGGCTCAAAAACACATTATACTCACAATATTTTGGAAAAGAAAGATACAAGTAGAATGGTAATCGTGGAGAGAAGAATTAGATAGAAGAGCAAAAAGTAGAAATAGGTGTAGGAAGAAGATAACTCTCAAGCTAGGAAGAAAACCCTCATGTTTGGATTAGATTTCAACCAACAACAGCCCCCTTTCCAGCTGCAAATCATTATAGGAGAAAAAATCCAAATGCCCCACATAAATGAGCCACCCTAAGTAGCCAATAGAAGCTACCTAGAGAAGATAAAACACAAGACATAGGAAACAACAAAGAGGGAAGGGTAACGGCCAGCAGCATAAACCAATGGCCAAAATTGCATGGGAACTCAATAGCAAAAATTCCAGAGCCACCTTGGAAAACCAACAACAGAAATTTCCAAAACCTGCTTGGAAAATCAGCAACATTAAATCCAAAAACTGCATGGGAACACACAACCAACCAACATGGGAAGACATGGGCCAAGACCATTAAGGAAAAATAGCCCAAGATTAAATGCCCACTTAGCCATCAAGAAAGCAAGTAAACAAATTCAACATGAGTGGAAAGCCAAAGGAGAGAAAATACTAAAGAGCACCAAACCCAAGCATGATCATGAGTTGATTTCCATCATAGGGCATATAAAAAAAAAAACATAGTCCAAAATTACAGAACATCCAAAACATTAAAAATAAAATACAATATAAAATAATAATGCTTGATTGCAATAGGAAGGGACAGTGATGGATTATCAGGAGAAGTTTGAGTACCTTTCTAGTCGATTGTGTGTGTGTGCGCGTGGGGGGAGGGGGTATCTGAAACAATTTTGAAGGAGAATTTCATGAAGTGATTCAAGCCAGATATCAGGGTTGTTGTTCGGTTATTAAGACCATAAGAGTTAGGAGAGGCTATGGAACTAGCCTAATTGGTAGAGGGCAAAAACTCACTTGAGAGAGGCAGCAAAGGCAGTAGTTTGAGAGCTTCATACCATATGACAACTACTTTTTTGGCACCAAAGGTACAACTTTTGTCCATTCAGAGAGAAGTACCCAAGGATAGGGGATTGGGAGCACGACCGGGGGGAAATTTCAAGTGGCTAAGGAAAAGGTTCAGTAGAAGCGGGCTAGGGGATTGTGTTTTTGTTGTGATGAGAAGTTTGCACCGGGCCACCGTTGAAAGGACAGTTCACTGCAGGTATTTACAGTATGTGATAAGGAAGAGGTGGTTAAGGAGGAGTAGCATTTGCACCTATATGTGGCGGAGGTCAAATCACACCATGAGTGGTAGTTCTAGTGGATAGTGGGGAAACCCACAACTTCATCTCCAATGAGGTTGTGGATCGATTTGGGCTGAGGCTAGTCGACACGGGCTGTTTTGAGGTGATGATGGGAATGGGAAAGATGGAGAAGAGTAGAAGCATTTGCCCGGGGTTGATGGTGACACTACAAGAGATCCAGATGAATGATGATTTTCTTCCCTAAGAGTTAGGGAGCACAGATGTAATTTTGGGCATGAAGTGGTTGCAAACATTAGGGGAAACCAAGGTGGACTGGAAAGCATTGACTATGGAATTCATGATGGGAGGGAGGATGGTGAGGATTAGGGGGGATCCTAGTATGTCCAAAACTAGGGTTTCTCTTAAGAAAGAAGAGATTGAGTGGCCGAAAAGATGGGAAACATAAGTAATGGCTAATGGATATCGGATGATGCCAATGATGAAAATTGATGTCAGTCAACAGTCAGCACTAAGTGGTTGCACTGATAGGAGTCAATCTGTTGATGGGTAATTGGGTATCAAAGCTAGTATTAAATGGTGGTGAGTGTGAGCTTTGATGTCGAATGATTACCAGCAATAATGAGAAGAGTTCTAAAATTCTCAACAAATCATAAATTTTTCTCTACCCCAAAGTCGTGTTTTGAATATGAGAAATAGATAATATTTATAGATATTTTGAGTGGGCATTTCAATTGTTCATCCATACCATTTGAACACTCCATTACAACAACAACAACAACATCAAGCCTTTATCCCACTACGTGGGGTTTGAACACTCCATTGAATGCTCAAAAAGAAACTCCTGATCATTTGATTTTATTTGGGTATCTCAATTCCTTAATAGATTTAAAATTATACGATCATAAACTTGGTAGATATAACTCGTCAAGACACTTACTTTAATTAATCATATAAAATTCAATCACCCATCTGGCCTCAATAAGTTTCCAATTATGTTAATTGGGACTTGAATCCAATATTTCTCAATATAATTCAATTCATCTTGTTGAACCATGCTTATAGGAAGTTAATTAAAATAAAGTTCGAATGATCTCAGAATCAAATCCCAAAGTTTCCAACCCAAATATTTGAGTACTATACAACAACAACAACAACATCATCAAGCATTTATCCCACTACGTGGGGTCGGCTACATGAATCATTTTTCTCCATTGTGTCCTATTAAAAGTCAAATATTTGAGTACTATGAGATTGAAAATTCCTTCAAAATTTTGTTTAATCATATGAATTTACTAGTAGTCAATCAGCCATAAATTGTACGAATCTATTTGTTCAAATCGTAGGAGGGGTGGGGGTGGGGGTGGGGGAGGAGAGAGAGAGAGAATTACATAGGATTACATCTTTACGCAATCAGCCTCATAGTACAAGCTAACAAATACTCTGAGAGTGCTCTCAAATTCTACTTAGATATCCATAGTTAAGACAATGTTCTTCAACTTTGAAACAAAAAAGACTAATTGTAAATAAAAAAAGGATGGTCAATGTTTCTTTCTGCTACCAATGGAAAGTGAATCAGAATACTGCTCCGATTCAGATATTGCACACGAAATTTTTTTAACGTTAATATAAGTGCCCTGCCATTTAAAAGCAAATAACTTTATTCCTGAAAAAAATTTCACATCAGTTAAAATACTTACGTTGCATCAGGCCACTCGGGAACACCGTTGAGCCCCAAAACTGGGCTTAATTGGCAATAAAAGAAACCTGTTTGATGCAAAGCATATGTCGCGATTTTACCCAGCAATAGAAGCACATTTGTTGCTTTGCTGAAGAGGGAGGAATTTCATGTTACAAAGGCATTATGATACATTGACTCGCTTTGTGCTACAGCTAATACTTGATACAGATATAGCAGCAAATATACCTTCGCATATGTTTGTGGAGGTCCCAATGCAAAAATCTTAAGCAATGTTCTTCGGCAAGATCTTTGTTTAAAAAATCAATTGCATTTGCAAATTCTGCTCTGAGTATTGATTCTCTTGGCTTCTTCTCTCGCATCTTTTTTGTTTTTGATAAATCAAATATTGGAAGACAGATAGTAAAAGGTCAACGTTATTAGATAGTATTCCCATTGCAAATTGAGAAATATAGTAGTAGTATATAATTATATATCCACTCAACAAACAAAAAAATTACCCATAGGATGAACCTACCTTAATCAAGTTTAAAATAACGATTGGATTTCCATATCTCCTCACAAGATTCATGAAATGCAGCCGTGTAGCTTCAAAATTCTCATCCTTCTTCCGCACTGATTAAACAGAAAAGGCATTGTAAGAGATAAATTTTTTATAACATCTATGGCAGAGCCAAATTCCCAAATATATCTGAAACTCACAAATAATATCAGGCTTCATATTCAGCTTTGATGTCTCCTGGGACCAAAGGAGGGGTATAGAACCCCTGTTTTGCACTATAGAGCTTATCCGCGTAGGAGTTCCTGTAGGAACATCTTCGAAAACAATCTGTTCCGTCTCCACATCATTTGCTGCACAACCATTATCATTAACTCCACGCTTTAGATACCTGCTCCATTGAACGACAGAGTATGTTTAAAAATTCTGAAATGGAGAATGGAAATTTAGCAACCAGCATGCAGTAATCACAATTATTTCATGCCTATTTTCCCAAAATAAAAAATTACTAGAGAATAAATGATAAATAAAAACCTGGTTCCAGCATAATGGCGTGAGCGCCTAGCAATGAGGGTCAACCAAAAATCCTTATCGGTCACTGAAATTTTGGCCTTCATGCAAGAAATATATATCATCGGTACATCATTTGGAAATAAAATACAAGCAAAGAAGTATGCCAAAAAAATAAAAAAGGAAATTGATGGGCCAAAAGAATTCCTGCATAATATTAGTCAAGACCTGTTATGAGAACTCGAGCATCAATGATGAGCACAAGTACAATTAATAATAAAATAGATGTCACTACTGAATACTAATATACTATCAAATGTAAGCAATAAATTGAATTGAGGACCTCACAAAAGATCCTATAACCAAAAAAGATTGTCACCACTACATACTATCAAATGTAAGCATCTAAATTGAAATAAGAACCTCAAAAAAAATTCTTTAAACAAAAAGGTTTGCAGAAGTTGAACTACTATGGCATCAACTTGAGCTTGCATGTCATAAGAACTATGCATATTGTAAATGTATAGCTCTCCAAACTTGAGGATCGTAATGGCAATCACTGTTCTATATTCCTCTGACAAAAGTTAATCAACTTGATATTTTATTAAATAAAATAGCTTTCAAATAAATGTAACAATCAAGATCATGATATGTAAGGTATTATATGCCTTGGCACAGCCCATTCTTTGCTAGGTTGAACCTAGCAATCCAGAAGAAGATCATCTGATGAGGGCATCAGATTTCGACATGTGTACCATCGCCGGGGACGACGATCGACGGCCCTGATTCAGAGCCTTTATCTATGATGCTTTAGTTCTTTTCTTTTATTAGTTATTTCATGTTTCCGTTTGTACCCCTATGAGGGATGTTTCACTTATTGTAGCCCAAGGACATTTGTGACTTTATGCTTTTATTTTTCTGTAAGCCTATATATAAAGGCTTGTATCATTGTATTGGATTATTGATTGAATGAAAATTTTTCAAGCTTTGTTCTCTTTGTGAGTGCATGAGGTTCTCTTGGTGAGTGCTTCCCCTTGAGATCTCTTTGTGAGTTCTCTAGTTATCTTATCTTTTATTATTTACTTTGCTTTGCACAATCTTCTTCCCCCTAGAGAGTTCTTCCAAATTCCTCTTGCCCTTGCTCTTGCCGCCGGCCCCTAGGGCTCTCCCCACCGCCGGCCAAGCTCCATCCCGCCGCCCACCACCAAGCCGACGCCCCTCCTCTCATGCGCATCATCCCCTATTTTTCCCCAACATCAAATTAGAGATTTGAAATTTCAAAATTTGAATTGTTTCCTAATTTGGAAATCCAAATATGGAAAGTCTTCATGAGTAAAAAAATTTCAAATCAATTTAATTTGGAGTTTTAAGATTTTTGCCACATCATCAAATCAAGCATTAAACCTCCTCCTCCTCTCCATATTTTCCCTCCCTCCTCAAGCATGCCGCCGGCCCCCCCTAATGCGAGACAAGGCGCTAGTTGACTTTGGATTGACGTTGGATTCGACTTCGACGACACCGTTGAGGAGTATTTGGCCCGGATCGTACCCACCTTGATAGAGACCGTCGACGATCATTTTTCAGTGTACACTTGGATCGTCAAAGGACGTCGCTTTGCAACACCTCCACAACCCGCGCCGACCTCTTCCTCCCTACGGATCTACGGCGCCGTCGCCCTAGGAGTGATCTCCTCCATCGTGTGGTTCTTCTTCTCCCAACAAGCCTAGGAGTAGGTAAATGAGAGCGGCCTCAAGGTGAGACAATCGCTTTGTTAACCTTGGGATTCTTGTTGTTCGTTTCATTTGCTTTACGTTTATGAAAGTTGTTATTTTTCTCGGCCTTGCTAATTTAGGTGTAAGTGCTTGCCTAGTCGTAGTTAACAATTGAGATTTCCGAAAAGCTTGAATTGGGAACAAGATTTAACTTGCAATTATCATACTTGGATAATCTTTTGTTAAACTTCTAAATACAAATCCTGGATTTACATTATATTACATCATCATCTATCTCAAGACTGATCCATTACGAAAATATTTACCTATGGAGCTCACAAGAAAAATTCACCCGTTATTCCAAAAAGCGTCTAATATTTTTGGCTTAGCACTTTACTTAAATAGCCCAATATCCTTCCTCCACTTTATGCTTGCGATTTGGTTCATTCCTATCCCTCTTTTCTCCTAATAGAATATTTTAAAACTAATAGTTTGTGGCACACTATGAGAAATTATATTGTAGGAAGTATGGGTCGCCTTTGTGTTAGTTTAAAATTGGGGAAAGAAAGCCAATGGGATCACAATTGATATATGAAGCAATAGAAAGGATGAAGATTAAATATGGAGTACATTATAGTGGTAAAAGAATGATAGAAAAAAATATTCGATCAAAAGCACATTATAGTAACATAGGACTGCCATTCTCAATCTCATTTTGATGTTGAAGATCATATATATATTATAAGTGTGTGTCACTTATAAAGGCCATCATCAAACTTAAATAGAATGGAAACATTTGAGATTCATTGGACCTTTTTAAGTGATTGAGAATGTAGACAATATTACATATCATTGGGCTCTTTCTACACAACTTGGTATACATGAAATTTTCAGGTGTCATTGCTAAGATGATATGTTCCTACCTAATCTTCTATGATTCAACATGACCCACTACTACTTTGAGAAGATCTAAACTATAAGGAAATACCATAGTGCATTCTAGATCATAAAGTTTGATAGCTTCGATGATGATCTATCCCTTTTTTAAAGGTGCTTTGGTGAACACATTATGTAGCTGAGGCTACTTAGGAGTCTGAAGAGAAGATATGTTTCAAGCATCATCATTTTTTTTGCACATTAAGGTAACAGCTTATTTTTCTACTAATTTTGAACTTGGGGTCCACATTCTTATTTGATGGAAAGAATGTAACATCTCTGTGTGTGGACTCCAAGGAGAACCAAGAACATATTCTTGATATTTATAAGTATTTTTGTATATCAATACCCACATGTGATTTTATTTTTAGACCTATACGGTCCTATAGTTTGGGCATGCATTAACTTTTTGTTTTTTAACTCATAACTGCTATATGGTTAGTCTTCTGAGTTGTAAACTAACCCCATTTTCACTTTTTCATTTCAAATTGATTTAGATAACTTAGTAAGTGATCGCTATAAGAGATTGCGTAGTGTGGTGCCAACTTATATTCATGTGAATTTTTTTACTTTAGGAACTTTTTTTTTTTGTAATAGATATAATTGTATACCTTTGAAATTTAGCATGGTTAAGAATGTGTGAGAAGTAGTAATATTTACAGGTTGTTTGGAGGATATAATGACTTCAGTAAGCTCTAATATGTTTATTTTGGAAATTCTTGCATAATTTGTTGACGTATATGATTTATCTAGATTTTTTCATTTGTTATAGGCACCTCATCTTATTGTTATCATGCCAAAATTTTGGGCAGCTTTTGGGGTGAGACAAAATCATTTAGAGATCACACATACCTGCTTGAAAAAACCATAGACTAAAGCAACTGTCCAGACATTATTCTTAAGACGATTGCGGATCCCTCTTGTCAAGAACTCATTCCAGACAAACATGGTTTCATATAATACTTGCCCTGTCTGAGAATCAAATAAATTCTTCTGAAGAGTGCGCATCACAGGATAAGAGTAGCTGAAAAAGAAGTCCTTTGTCAGATCCACAGTACACAGCAGCCTCTTGTATCTAACCATGAAATAGGAAAACAGAATTATGTGAGATCCTTATAATGGACTGACGATTATAGGACAACATAATATTAAACAAAAAAGATCAAGGTGCTGCTTACAAAAAAAATTATGACAGAATCTATTATGAGGTAAGCGTAAACAAAAAGATCAAATAATGATATTGCTCATCTTTATCTACAAGACAAGCATTAAATATAAGTATAGACCAATCACGTACAAAACTAGTTTCTGGCATCTTCAACAAACAAAAATAATTTCTGAACATTTGGTCAAGAAGCAATAGTAAACTAACAAAAAAATGATTGGGGTATCACACGCAGCAGATCAGACATCAGAAGACACTAGATTTGAAAATCCTTTTCTTCTTTCAAAGCTACTCGAATTGTAAAAAGTAACTTCAGGTCACATAAATTTTTAGAAAGCAACGAGAAAGCAAAAGCCATACGAAACTATAGTTGTGATATGAAAAGCAAAGAGTGAAAAAGTTGTCCAAAACAGACTATCAATAGTTTAAGATCTTGGAAGTCATAGCTAAAGTCCTATGTTTGAAATCCAAAATATTCTATAAGAAAAATATTCTATAACTTGAACAAAAAAGAATACTGCTAAATTCAAGCAAATAAATAGGATTATGCTTTATTTTGTTTAGACAGGCCAATCTAAGTAAGAAGAATTATAAATATATTTTGATCGGGAGGGTGTTGACTGATCCATCTTAGCAAAGTACAGCCTAATCACATTTTTTGTGTGATTATTTTTGGGGAGTGAAGCTTTACTCGAGTAACACTATAGTATACATAAAAGAATAAGTTAAATAAAAAATTTAGCGCCATAATAGAACCTGTTTTCATTCTTAGAAATCGTCATATTGGACCTCACGGTAGAATTTGGAACTGCAATCATCGCACTTTTGGTGATAGCATACACATTATAGCCGCACATAGAACCAATTAACCTTCTTTTGGTTATAAGCATCATGTAATATGGCCCTAAGAACTTAACAAAACCTGAAATAGAAAAGTCTCATAAGGTTCTGAAGGAGGCCAAATGGTGGTAAATCTGTGTTGACCTGACATTGCCTTAGTGAAGTAAATGCATACCAACAATCCCATAGCAGCTAGTAACGAAATTAAGTCCACCAGTTGACATATTTCCCTCATGAATGCGTTTCAACAGATCATTGCATTCATTTTCTGAGTACATGGCAGAGTCCTCAAGTATGTTTAGATCAAAAGGTTCCAATCGGTCAATCTTTAACACTCTCCAAAGTGTTCTACCCTTGTCCCTTCCAACCATATAAAATGTCTGCAAGGAGCATCAGAAAGTTACACAAATTTTACCAAATCATCAAGTCAATTAACATATGCATGGCTAGGTGTACTCGTGCTTGTTAAGATGTATAATTCTGCAAAGATAGATGGAGAAAATGTTTGAACTTGCAGAAATGTAAAAAACAAATTCATATCGGTTCAGTTAATATTGTCAAAAGTAGAAATTGTTTAGCATCTCAGACATGTCCATCCTAATCATAGCAATAGAATACATCCAAAGGAAACAGATAAATGATAGCAGAATATTGCTTGAATTGCCAAAAAGGATTCAACAAATTTATTACAACTCTATAAGTTGGGAAAATGTAGTCATGAGAGAGAGATGAAGAACCTCAAACAGTTTACTTAAATAATGGCATAAAAGTTTTTTTTCTCTCTAGTGGCAATAGGCTGCAAATGAATCTAGTTGTGCAAAGCAGGAGGCTATTCGTGCACAATCTCATCTTCCCAAAGCCTGTTTGAGCTCAGCTCAAGCTCAATATGAGCTTTTATGATAATGCTCAAGCTTGTTTTAGTTAAATCTGTGCTTCTTCAAGCTTGATTTGAGCTTATCGTGCTTTAAACATCTAGCTCATTTGAAAACCTACATGAGCCTTATCGAGCAGCTCATTTGGAGACACAAATGATCCCTATCAAGCTCCTCCTTGAGCTTAAGGAAATGAAATTATAATTTTCCAAACATTTTAAAAGTACAATTAATCTTCATATATATATATATATTTTAATTTTTATTAAACCACTTTAGAAGCATATTCAAGACCATATGTGGGCAAGAAGGCTGCAAGCTTACACAACTAATATACTATTACGCAACTTCTAACTATATAAAAATTATTATTACCTTAAACTTCCAACTAAAGTAAGACTAAGACTTCGTTTGGGACAGCTTTCTTACTGCTTCTTAAAGTAGTTTTTTAGTATAAAATATAATTTTTTTCTACTAAAAAGTTGTTTTAAGAAGCATAAGAAAGCCGCCCCAACCGAAGCCTTAATAGGCGGGTGAGAGGAATACCGTGAGAGTGGGATTATATGAGGGAGGAAATTACATAATAGCTACCAGAATTCTGATATTAATTACTACTTATACAATGTCGTAATTATTATGCAATGCAATGGGTGGGAATATAGAATCATTCGAATGCCTATAATTACTTAATTGTGAATGTTAGAATGCCAAAATTACTTAATTGTGAATACTACATCATACCAGAATACCGATTCTTATAGATATTAATTTTATATATTGTATTGTGAATTAAATATTGTAAAAAATTAGCAATTGTTAATATCGAGTATTATATCAAATCTTAATCAAGCTTATTCATCACTTTTAAATGAAATTATTCATGATAATAAACGAATCAAGAAATACGACCTTGAAATTTGTTTATTTAACTACTGAATATTTGTAAAACTGTTGGAACTTGTTTGATTAGTCAATGGAGCTGAGTCACGAGTAATTTGTCCCACGCTAAGTTCATTTGCAGCCATAGTTGGCAATACTGAATAGGCCCCAAAGAATGGAAAAGATAGCTAACTTGGGAGAACAAAAGAGTAAAGACTGAAACAATAATGCCCATTCATGCCAAAAAAAAGGGTTGATCAAAACAAAGGAAGATCACAGAGATCGGATTAACTTCACAATGGCCAGACTTTCCATAAAAGCAAGCACCAAAGGTCAGGGCTTTGGTCAAAAGACCGACAAGGAAAATCGCTAAAAGAGAAGGCTGCGAGGAGAAAATGAAGACAACACTAAACAGTCCTAAAAGAAAACAGATTCTAACAAAAAACACAAAATATACAGGATTAAGGCAGAAGAAAGCGCATCCTAGCAAAGGCAAGAGCCAGCACTCTAACCGATTGGGTCTCGTACAGCCTGAACTTCTGCAGGCAGCACCCGTCGGCACCGGACTCTCCCGATATCCCATCAGTTGCCGGCGTGTTCTTCGCCGCCGCCATCACACAGGAGAGCGATCCCAAGCGTCCGGCTTGATCCTCCTCAGTCACACATGCAGATCCCGCCGATAGGTACTTCTTTGGCTGTTGGAGCCCCAAATTTCCACTCTGCTGCTTCAGATATAGCGTCCTTTCTGACTCCCGTCACCAGCTCGCCACTCCATCAAACAGCTCCAAATGGTTTCAAAAGGATAGAAAAAGACATTATGGAATCAAACGATTGAGCTCGTTAGCAAGAGAAAATAGCAAATCAAAGGCAGAGAAAGAGAAAAAAAGAGATTTTTTCACTTTCGCCTTGATTTTGCTTCGTTTTACTTCTCTTCTCCATTTTCTCTTCTTTTACTGAGCATTAAAAAGAGTAGGAAGGGGGGAATGAGATCGTCAGAACGCGGGAGACCACACAGCTGAGGCCACACTAATCCACACGAGCAAAGGGAAGATAGACGAGTAGGAAACCCAGGAAAATGAGAAAATATTTCTTAAACTTTAGTAAGGAATAAAATAAGAATATAAGGAAGGGTGTTTTTTATCTCCTTAATTGTGTTATGTAAATTTTACATTTTTTACTTTTCCGCACTTCCCCAAAAATTAAAACAAAAATCTGCCGTCGACCGTTCGATTCGACGTGAAATTAATTTCCTCAATTGTGCTTAAGATCTTGATCATGTGAACAATCCCCTAGAAGTATAATATTTTTAAAAACTAAGGTTTTGCTTCTTTTATACTGATTTGTAAAGAAATTTTTTAGAATAAAAATTTTTTGAACTAGAAAATTTTATATTATAAAACTATTTTAAAAAATAAAAAGAAAATCATCTCAAAAGAAACATAAATATATGTTCATGATAGCTTCTTGGCTACTTTAATTGACACTTAGGCCAATTAAGTCAAACTCACACACACAACGCATATACATAGACTCGAATCTTGGACCTCTTAATTGGAATCCTAAGCTCTCAACCAATAGGCCAAGGAGAGTTATGCACAATCCCCTAGAAGTCCTAATATTTTTAAAAACTAAGGTTTTGCTTCTTTTATACTGATTTGTAAAGAAATTTTTTAGAATAAAAATTTTTTGAATCAGAAATTTTTAAATTATAAAACTATTTTAAAAAATAACAAGAAAATCATCTCAAAAGAAACATAAATATATGTTCATGATAGCTTCTTGGCTACTTTAATTTTCAAACAACAACTATAATTTAGTTTAGCTAATGCTTTCTTGCAACTTTAAAAATAAAGTTATAATTGAAAATAGCTTTCTGTGATTAGAATAGCGAAATTATTTTCTCCATAGTAACTTCACAATCAATATTATAAACTGTTATATCTACGGCCATCCCAAATAGACCTTAAAACATACATCTCAAATATAAGCACCAACCAAATAGTTTTGCAAAATATTTCTCTAATTTATATAAATTTGATTATATCAAAATATTTTTGTTTAATTTTATAATAACACGTATATGATATTTAAAAGAGAAGCATAATACTAAGTTAAATGTGGCAGAGATGAGGATGCTCAGGTGGATGAGTGGCTTTACCCTTAGAGATAGGATACGAAATGAGCATATACGTGAAAAGGTTGGAGTAGCTCCAGTAGAAGATAAGATTAGAGAAAGTCGCCTTAGATGGTTTGGTCACATAAAACGGCGGCCTTGTGATGACCCGGTTAGGAGAGTAGAGGTATTAGATTTGACTTATGTTAAGAAAGGTAGGGGTAGACTTAAAAAGACTTGGTTAGAAAATATTAGGAATGACCTTTCTTTATTAGATTTAAACGAGAATTTGACTTTTAATAGGACACAATGGAGAAAAAGGATTCAGGTAGGCGACCCCACGTAGTGGGGTAAAGGCTTGATGTTGTTGTTGTTATAATAACACGTAGTGGGATAAAGGCTTGATGTTGTTGCTGTTTTATATGTTATAATTTTACTTTAAAAAATAATAAGAAATGATCCCAAATGAAATTTATAACTTTCTTACTGCTTACTTAAAAAAATATAAAAAAGTGGTATCGAAACGAAGCCTAAGATTATCAATACATAAAGATGATGTTAAAATTACGGCAATTTCTGACGTGAAAATATTTTTTTTTTAATTTATATGGCTGAAAATAATATCTACACCCAAAAAAATTTTTGAATCCTAAGAACGGTTAAATATATGGAGATGGTGACAGATGATTATAACTTTCTATCGCCGACAGGCACGTCTCATCTCTTTTTTACTCATTCACGTGTCCTCTAGTGATCTGAATTGGTCACGTGAATCTTCCTTCTCCGCTTGAAAAGGCATCCGTCCACGCTAATCATATGTGCACTGGGGAAAAGGGAATCACATAGCTTCCTTTACGGTCAAAATTTGTCCAAAGCACATAAATGCAAAAAGAGGATTGTAATTTATGAAAATAAGACATTATTAACACCTTATTATTCAAACTATTTGGAAACAAGTTTAAAAATTTTAATTTTGTTCAGCTACATGGACATTGTTTTAATATGCCTCCAAAGACTTCTTCTAGTTTGCCACATAGGCTTGGCATATCTGATTTTCATCTATTTGAGATAATTTTTTATTTTTAAATTATAATCATAATTTTTATGTGACTAATACACTTTGTATGAAACACTTTACATGGTTGGAGCTATAAGAAACCAAATGTCATGAGAGTTGTTCCAAGTAATTGTTGTCATTTTCATCATCGGATTATGATCGTTAGAAGGGTTGTAGTTGACATATGACAAAAGTTGGAAGGATCGTAGTTGACAGACGATGAAAGTTGGAAAGATCATAATTGGGCGAATATTATTGGAGGTACTGTAGTCGGCGAGTGACAAAGGTCAGAAGGACCATAATTTGGCGACAGTGGTCGGAGGGACCGTAGACAACGAGCGACAGAGGTCAGGAGGATCATAGTCAATAGGCAACGGATGTCAAAAGGGTCATAGTCGGCAGTCGATGGAGGTTAGAAGGATCGTAATTGGGCAAATGTGGTTGGAGAGACCATAGTTAGCGGGAGACGGATGTTAAAAGGGTCGTAGTTGGGCCACGATGGTCAGAGGGACCGTGGTCGGAAGGACCACCCTCGAGTGATGGTGGTTAAAGAGACCATAATCGATAGACAGAGGTCGCAAGGATCGTAGTTAGCGAGCAATAGAGGTCGGAAGAAACACAGTCGGGCGATGGTGGTCAGAAGGATTGCAGTCGGGTGATAGTGATAAGAGGAAGGCTAGGTAAGTGTAGCCAAACAAAGGACCAACAGGTGATGATCAGATATGGGTGTCAATATTTGACACGACCCGAGAACCCAACTCGAATCCGACCTAAAAATTTTGAGTTAAGGTCAACCCGTTTGTGAAATCGATTAGGTTTGAGTTCACAAACCGACCCATTTCAAAAATTAGGTCGGGTTTGGGTTGCCTGAAAACTTAGAAATAACCCAAAAAATATGTTTGCCCTCGTCTACCACTCGACGTGTCGAACTGCGTCACTTCAGACTTCATGTGTACGTCGCCATCGATGTAGCATCTTTTAGCGTGAGTTAAGTCTCCGCTGTTGCAGTGTTGCTGAAACTGGAAGTAGCGACGGGAGGCGGGAGCTCGCTATTTTCCTCACTGATTAGAGGTCGGGACAGTTCGCATCCTTCGACGACGTTCCTTCCTGTCGAATTGGAGGTTGGGATAGTTCGCTAGAACTGGAAGTAGTTGGTCAACCTTCGCTATCTTCCTTTTGCAAGCTTCTTCAGACAAATGTCATAAATCCGTGTCGAGTCAAGTCAATCCAAAAACCCGATAGTTCGGGTCAAGGTTGAACAAATTGACCCAATTCGAAAAAAAGGTCAGATTTGGATCAACCGAAATAAGATCGTGTCAGTTTTAGGTTCGACCAGCAACTTGAAATTGACACCCCTATAGTATGGAGATGTCTTATAGCGGTGGCCTGGTGGCATAAATTCATTGGCGGAGGTGCTAGGGTTGAGCTCCATGATTCTTCAAGCCTCAAAGTTCTCCACTTCTTCCTTTCTTCCTTCCTCTCACTTTCATGTGAATAATGTGAGAATATTTTTAGTGACATCTTCTGTAAATATGGAGAAGATCATGGGTAGATTTGGAGTGTTTTATCGAACAACTCATAGTGATTCCCTTCATCATAAAGTATTATCAAGCATTTAAGTACCTTAATGATGTTAGAATTTGGCGATCATAGGCTCGTTGGATTCGTCTCGCCGATCTGCTCGATTCGATTATAACCATGTCCTATTTTATTATCATTTGGTTATCAAATTAATGCTTCAAAGCTTTCAAGTTGGCTTTGGTCTTTTGATTTGGGCTCGGATTGTATTGATTTTGGTGTCGTTTAGTTCATCTCCATGAGATTATCAATTTGATTATAAGCTTGAAAAATTGGAGTTTGGATGATCCCGAACTTTAATTTAGATGCTTCCAACTTGTGTTTGCATTAAGATTCATGTTCGATCAAGGTGTTTTTTGTGACGTATCAACTGCTATTTTTCTTTACAACATTTGTGGCTGTTAACAATAATATAGTAAAATTGACCTTTTTCTTATAATTTAAAATTAACCATTTTTTAATTGTATCACATTTTTTTAAGAAAACCCTAAAATTTTCAAATAAAATAAAGTTTTTCTTTTGAAAAAAAAAAGAGCTAATGAATTATTTGTTAAAAAAAATTGTTAAAGAAAATTTTGTAGTAAAAAGCAGTAAGAAAATCCCCTCAAATTATAGCCTTAGTGTCTCCTAAGTTATATCGCAGTTAAAAGTAGACACTTGAGTCATTAAAACAACAAAATAATGGCACTGCCAATGGAAACTCGATCAATAGAGACTACTTAGGAGTCGAAGGTCCCAATAAAGGGTTTAGGAGCAGAATTTCCCTAAAAAAGAAAACTACACCAACAACCTTAGCTTAAAGGGTTGTTTGGTTGGAATACTTTGGGGTGGAAAGTATTCCAAATGCAAGAGTTTTAACAATTTTCATGATTAGTTGAATGAAAAAAGAATTTTAAGTAAAATAAAGTAAATGTAACATAAATCATTATAGTTCATTTTTGAGATAAAATAAATTCGTCCAATTTTGAGCAGGAATGTTTTATACCGCAAACAAGCTCGCTTGACCACCAAGGACCAACATTGGCCATTTCCACCCACCTCAGGCCACCACTCCTACCACACTTTGGTAACCACCGCTCTTGTCGGCGTCCATCGAAATAGTCGACAACCTCTGCTGTCACCCTCCAGCCACCACCCCTAGCCGTCGGACACCACTGCCGCCACCCTCCGGCCACCGCCGCTGCCAACCGTTAGCCACCATAGCCACAACCCTCCGACCACCACCTATGCCACTCGTTGGCCATCATCCCCACCGGCAATCGTCGACCACCATT